TAAATACCTCAACCTATCTTTGTTCATTTATTTTGCTCTTCTCCTTTCCATGCAAAAACCCTGCCTAAAATTGAATTTATGTTTAGGCTATATCTAGGGTTACAAATTTCAAAAACATTTGTTTAAAATTTACCTTTTGGCTTGAGGAAGGGAAACGAAGAAAAAAAATGTGTAGCTTTTAGTGTAAAAAATTGACACCTTCTTGTGCACACTTAGGTTTCATGCAATTGAAGTCACTGTTGGATACGTATGTCATGCTTGTGCTCTACTTAGTTTGCATGAAACCTTAACTCCACTCGCTTCCTTGCTTGCTCCATCATTTTTTCTTGCACTCACTCTTTTTGAAACTCAATAATTTGATGCCAACTAAATCATTTATTTGACATCTGCTAAACATTGTTTTTTTTTTATGAGAAACTTATACATTAATTTATGAAAGTGATATATGAATTTTTTATTTAAATTATTTCTAGGAATTTTTAAGATATATTTAAAGAAATTATGGATAATTGTTTGATATTTTATTATCACTTAACTGATCAATTTTTCTATCTATTTTGAATTAATTAATCATGTAAAAAATATGTTAAGGTTATTACAATCCCTCCTTATAAAGTTTCATCTTCAAAATGAATAGTGTTTCGTTTAAATTCATATCTTAATTGAAGAATTATGGGCATTTTTTTATATTTTATATTAATTTTTCCATGGGGCATCTCGTTCTGTGCCACGCTTCCATAAAACTAGTACAAAAGAAATCTCAGTTTTTATGCTGTTTCATATTGTATTTTAATAATTTTTATGGCTGTATGCATGTAAGTTCAGTATGAAAATCAATGAGATATAGAAAAATCTTGCTAGTATTATCAACTACAAGCTTCTATAGTATTGAAATGTGAAACAGATTATACAGTCTATACGTATGTTATAGTAAAACTAATTTGTAAGCTACCTTTTCAATTCATCTTAGAATTTCATGGTAAAGCTAATTTATAAGCCACTTTTTAAATTCTTTTCAGAATTTCATAAGGATCACTACATATGGGATTTTATTTTCTGTTTTACCAAAGCTTTTCACGCTTCTCATTGGACTGGCCTTGAGAAAATTAAATTCTTCTTAATTAATTTTTACTGGTTCGTGCTTATCATCATAATATTTTATTTTTGCCTTGAATAGCTTTATTAAACTTTATTTTTCTCAAATGTTTCTTCCTATAATAATGGGGCTCTATGTTTCCTTCTTTAGAGCGTTTCATATGGCAAGATATCAATGCTTGGTTGTAAATTATTATTGTAACCAAATTCTATCAGTGTTGTATGGGATTCTTAGTCTCCACCAAAATCAAGGACACTTAATCTAAGTAAATATTTCAAGGTTTGGATTATTTTTTTTTTATTGGCCGTTGATCTAAGGGTGGAATGCAATACTGAAAGTTAGTTTAATATTCTAAGCTTCTTGGGTATTTTTCCTTAATTTGGATTTAAATCAGATCATCCTCATTCAAAACTTTCGTCTTTGATACTCTATGTAACCGTATTATTTGATCTACAAAAATTTTTTGCCAAGCGTTCAATGCCATTAGTTTGTTTGGTGGGCAGAAAACATACAAATTTGCTTTATCTATCAATAATCACCGTAGAGTATCTTGATCTTATGTTAATCTTGGTAACCTAATTATAAATATATAGAAATCTCATCCCTAATTCATTCTGGAGTCTGTAAGGTTGCAATGGTCCGTTTGGCTTATTATGTTTAGCTTTAACTATTTGACAAGAGACTTGGCAACAATTTTGTTGCACTTCACATCAATCTTAAGTACTAGAATAATTTCTTATGCTCTTGTTAAATTTTATTACCTCTTGAATGAGTAGAATAATCTAAGTAATATGCTTCACATAGAATTTTTTTTCCCTCAAGTCATTAATATTCGGAATGCAAATTGGCATCTGTATCTCGAAAATTCTTCCCCTCCAAATTTAAGATTTTCTGGAAATCATCATCATGTGATTTCCTGTCCTTTAAAGTAGATTATATTGTCATTTAATTCGATAACATTAATCTTTTATCAGTATTTGAGTGTTAACAATTATGGCCTATTTTTATCTTAAATCAACTTTCTTGTTGATAAATTTATCAAAATGTATTGCCCCATATCTTTCTGCTTAAAGCATCTGCAATGATATTTGTCATTCCTGCATATTGTATATCTAAATTTCGTTAATAACTTCTGGCCATCTGTCTTGAATTTAACTCATTTGTGTTAAAATATATTTCAAATTTTGATAATCACTAAATATTTGACACTTTACTTCACACAAATAATGCCTCCCTATCTTTAACACCAATTACAATCATTGCTAATTTTCGGATCTCATGCAGGAAAATTTCTTTCATTATTCCTTAACTATTCTGCATAAGAGCACTCCTTAATCCATTTAATGACACATCATTGTAAATTTGAAATCCTTCTGTTTCTAAAGAAATAATTAGCATTGGAGCAATCATCAAATAAACTTTCAATTTATGGAATGATTTTTCACAACAATCAGTCTATTCAGATTTTATGTGTTAATAAAAAAAATGATATAATGATATAAGAAATTCTTTCAACAAATTTTAAATAAAATATCTTAATGAACCTTCCAAATGGCACTAAGCTCACATCTTTCAATTGATTTATTACTCTGATACCATTTATAATAAACTAAATTCTTAACTCAAGTTTCTATTTTTGGCTTTGGCCTAATTGGCCTCATGATTTTATCTTCTTGTTTCAATTTTTTAGGAAGGCTGACACTCTTGAAAGTGCTTCAACAAAAAGATGATCAATGTTAAATTTTATACAAAAAAATTATCTCGGTGTTCAAGAGTTATATTTTAAATGTCTTCAAGCGATTATATTATAAATTTTTGTATAATAGCCCCAACTTTTAATATTTTTTCAAGTCTAATAACAATATTCTTTAAGCTTCTATGATGTAGTTTTTAGCTAGAACGGGTTCTTATTTTTCAAAATTTCATGACATGTCCCCTACTCAATTTACAAAGTTATCTTAGAATCTAAAATCATATATTGTTATTTCTAACTTAGTTTATTCATGTTATATTAATGAGTACAATTTTAAAATAGTCGCTCGACTTCTTACATGGGGTCATTTTAGGGCCAGAGTTTATAAAAGTGTCAAATTAGACCTTTGACTCATTAAGTTGGGGCCAAAATAGTCCTCTATAAGGATTATTTCAGCCCATATTAAAACAGTTTGTGCGCTAAATTGATACTTTTTTAGGTTGTGGGACTATAATGACCCCCTACGAAGAGTCGAGGGACTATTTTGACAATTTTCTCCAATGCAATGACTAAAATTTATTTTTGAAAATTTCAGGTATTACAATCATTACTTTTAGTCTTATCACACTTGGTTGGAGTTGTTTTTTATAAATCATTATTTAGTATTCATTATGTTAAGTATTGCATAAGTGATAAACCTATAATGTACAACTCTGTATGCACAACTTTTGTTATTCTACATTCTTTTTTTCTAATCCTTTGACTCAAGAACACTTTAGTCTAACTGGGCATTAACCATAGAAACAATATAATAATAGTTGTTATTCCTGTAAATATCATGCATTAGTGAAATTATTCTATGTATGGATGAGTATCCATAAAAAGATAGTATTGTTTTGATTAGCACATCGTACCATCAACCATTGTGAAATTACCACCTTTTACCTTATGCGCTTGAAAAAGATTAAATGTTGATATTACTCATGCTGCAAAGGATCCTAGCGAAATGTTGGTGTGACTAATTACTAGAATCACAATGATTGAAAATGCAAATTTTGTTGATTATTTATTCAATGTTCACTTCTTCATATAATTGTTATTCAAGATGTTAATATTTTGAGCGCGCATAACTGTGAAGTGAAGAAGAGAAACATTAAAGGTGATAAATATGGGTTGGATATCTTAATGCTACGCTAACATGGCAATTCATCATGACTCAAGTCTATAATTTATGATGCAGATTAGCTATGAGATGGAAATGCACACAAAACTTAATTGGTCACATGCTCTTACTATTAAAAATTATTCGTCTATTATGATTAAAAAAAAATCCCAAGAATGTCAATGCAAATGGCAATTCAACATTTTTCAGTCAGAATAAATTTGTGGAAATTCGGGACCAAAAAAACATATGAATACAATCGATCACACATTTAAAATACTAGCAAGCATAAAGGAAATGAGTCATTAAGTTAAGTCTCTAGCCTTTACAAGTAGATTGATAGCATCTCTCAAAAATCTTTAAGTCTATCACTTGATCAAGGAGTTTACTTTTAAGGAACAGTATTTCCAACTGGAGTTTATTCAGAGCAAACAACGATGTTTTTAGGTAGAAGCTGAAGACCCTCATTTACAATCAGAAAGTCTAGCAAAAAAAAAAAATAATAATAATAAATTTTAAAAAAATCCGCTCAGTTAGCACTATAGGAAAAAATGCAAGAAAGAAAATCAAATTGCTAAAGACTCAGTCCCTGCTCACTAGGCTTGAATAACTCGAGGAGATAGCCTTACATAGACGCAGCAAGAGGTTGCAAGCGGAGGTTGAAAGCTGGAGGGAGGTGTTGTTTGCAGAGAACTACAGAAGTCTGGTCCTGCCTGATAGAAAATTTCTGAAGACACTGCTCAATTACAGCAGTATGTCATAGGTCATGTTGAACTGAAATTTTTTGGAGGAAATAGATGACAATTGTAGTTGCTCTGTAGCTGCAGAGGCTCTCACAGGCAGAGGATGTCAAAGGAGTTCTACATCACATGGATTTTTTTTCCTTTAATCTCTTTATTGACATTTATTTACATGGTGTTCCTGTTTTTCATTTCTGTTTATGTTTTCTTAATATTTTGTTATAACATGTTTTTGGATGCTTGATCTATACTACAATTAGATATTGGTCCCACATCCCCCTCCATATCTAATATTAACATCTACTGCAGGCATTGCTGAACTTGGAATTATGATGACTACTACCATCCTTGTAACGATTATCATGCTTCTCATATGGCAGATCAATATTTTTCTTGTGTCATGCTTTCTTATTTTCTTCCTGGGTTCAGAATTGGTTTTCTTCACTTCAGTGTTGGGTGGTGTGGGTGATGGAAGCTGGGCGGTATTAGTGTTTGCATCAGTTGTATTTATGATAATGTTTATATGGAATTATGGAAGCAAGCTGAAATATGAAACTGAGGTCAAGCAGAAGTTGTCAATGGATTTAATGCTAAAATTAGGTTGCAATCTTGGTACAATTAGAGCCCCCGGTATAGGATTACTGTACAATGAGTTGGTGAAAGGGATCCCTGCAATATTTGGTCACTATCTAACAACTCTTCCAGCTATTCACTCTATGATTATATTTGTGTGCATTAAGTATGTTCCTATCCCCATAGTACCACAGAGTGAGAGGTTTCTTTTCCGACGAGTCTGCCCAAAGAGTTATCACATGTTCCGCTGCATTGCTCGGTAACTACAGTTTTTATAAATAGTAGTTCAAATGTTAATTGAAACTACATTTTGTCCAAAAAATTTCTAGTAGCTAATGCAAATAATGCTGATCCATTTTTGTTACTATTGGTTTATCACTGCTGGAGTGGCTGAAACAACTTTTCTTGATCCATTTCTTACTTGTGCTTGTTTTAAATAGTTTGATAATTTACCACTTTTCATGTTTCACCACGGTTTTCAATAGCTACGCTTAAACATTTTGATTCAGAGTTTACTTTTTCTTGATGATTTTTTCTAAAGGTTTCATCTATTGGATTGATTGATTTTTGAGACTTTCTTTTTGTAACCTTGATTTGAAAACCTCTTCGGTGATCTCATTCTTAACCAAACAAAAGTCCAATTGTGCAACGGGCAAAATATTGGGGTGAAATAGTTTGTGTAGACGAGAACGCAAATGGTATGAAAGTTTTTTATTTTTTATTCAAAAAATGAGAGCTTAGTAATCTGGTTTAATTAATCAAGAGATTATTTGATTCAACTAAAAATTTATTCCCGAAAGGCCAGACATTTCTAGCTATTTCTATTCCCTAATTTATCAGGGTTCAAATCAATACATATAAACGCTCATATGCAAGAGTTTTGGTTCATCCTGATTCCATTAAAGCTTTATTCATTTAATCACGGCCCAATGAGCTTAGGTAGTAGCTTGAACAAGTGGTTTGGTTGGATTTGATGGCCAAGCTTAGATTTAGTCTGTATGGCAAAAACTCAATTATAAGTATTAAGGACTAATTAATTAAGACTATTATCTGCACTTCAACTCAATTATTCATTTAACATTGGTTCTAGCTTTATTGAGCTTAATTAACATCTCTTAAAATGCATGAGTCTCATAAAACCACAAACCACTCACTGAGTTTTAATTATGGTCATGCATGCAAGAATCGTTGCTGTCATTTGTTTCTCTCTCTCTCTCACTCACTCACCCTTGCATGGCCTGCCCACCTCCCCTGCCTGCAATCTATATCCTCTGCTCTCTTTTGCATTTATAAACCGCAAAACACACTCCTAAACTCAACTTGTTCTGTTCACTCTTTCATGACCTCTAAGCTCCATATCTTGCTCTATCTCTCTATCTTGAAAGCTCTTAGCCTTCTGTGCTAGCCCTATCTTCTAGTGCTCGTCTTTTTCTTTCTTTCAGAAGTCACAAAGCTCTGCTCTTGACTTAGGATCTATTTGGGGCAGCTGTGGTAGGAAGCAGAGCTTTGCGCAAGTAACTGCTTTCAGTTCTTCTTCTTGGACACCTGTAAAACTGTCTCTCGTAACTATGTACTTATCGCGAAGTAAACAGATACATTTGTAGTCCACAGTAGCAGTATAATGCTCTAGAGATACCGAAAGTCCTCACTCACGAGGGGCTCATGTATGATTGCCCGTTGTCACCACTCCACTAAACATACGATCTAACTTCCCTTCCAGCTCAGACTCGATGCCATTCAATTTAAATTTTTTTTGCATTTGACACCACCCACAAAGTAATGAAAGATGGATATGTTGATATATGGGAAAAAAAAAAAGATAAAATGAGCAAATGTTTCATTAATTTTCACCTCCAATCTCTCAGTCCACCATTCTTCCGAAGCATTAATTATTTGCTTTATCGGATCCCAACTCAAGCCCGTGAATCCTCTCTTCAATTCTTTCCAAAATTTTCAATCTTTTTTTAATTGATCTCATCCTATCGAAATCCCTTCTTGTACTTTCCTGAAGTTTTTTATAAAATTGAAATGCAATCTGATGTTTCCCCATTCATATGATCTTAAATTCTCCATAGGGCAAAGTCATAAACCGCAAAAAAACCCCAAACGACATTCACAGAGCTAAACCATTCCTCATTAACCAGGATTGCAATGGAAAGAGTTATAAAAATCATTTTATCACAGAGCAAAGCCAAAAACCACAGAGATCAATCGACAACATCAACCACAAACCACACAAAAGGAGATAACATAAGGGGGAAGAGAGAGGTAGGAAGATACTAGAGGACATCAGAGAAACGGGAAATGCAGTCAATTCTCAACGACTCCCTCATAGCAAGGGACTTGGTATCGTAACACTAGAGCAAACGTGAATGCGAGGATCCAGGGCAACCCAGTAAATATATTGCCATCGAACGCAGGCAACGGGCTAGAGTCTACTACCGCGGTTTTAATAAATATTTTTGAATAAGCTACCACACTGCACAAAACAACCAACCCATATAACAATTTCCCACCACACCTCAACAATTAAGCTGCCCCCGAATGATGCTTTAGTCTCTTTTGGATTTCTATATTGCATGCTTGGTTTTGAGTCATAACTCTCTCTCTCTTTCTCGCTCTCTCTCTCTTTCCAACAACCCAATGCACAATCATTTGCTTGATTTTTACCTTTTTTTTTCTCGTTGTCAGGCATCCGGCTTGACACCCTATAAGCTCTCTTCAATGTATCTAGCTAGAAGCTCAAGCGCTACACAGCCTCACTAGTTGAAATCCTTTTGTTGATTCCATTAACTCTCTCAAGGCTTTCATCATCACCCTAGCAATGCCAATTGCTTGTGCATGACATCTACTGCTTTTGAAAAAATTGCAATATCTCTTTGAGTTGTATCTCTCTTTTGAACATTCATCCTGTGAATTGTGCCTTGCCTCATTATGGCATCTATCAAGGTGAGCTTTGTAGACTTATTTTCAAAAAATAAAAAAATAAAATAAAAATAATAATAATGATAATTTTTTTCAAAAAAAAAAAGGAAAAGAAAATAAGGGAGAGATTATTCCTATGTTTTAGGACTCGTTTGGGGCAGCTGCAAGGCAGCAGCGTGGCTTGGAAACACCAATTGAGGGCTTTTGGATACTCTGACGCGGTGGTTGTTTACAAAAAGCCGAAGGAAATGCGACCGCGGGCTCAACCTTGTGCCCCATGTTTCTTTGTATATCGTTGATGGGGATGCTCCCCTCCTCACCATGATTCGTTTTCTTGCGTGTCTTGCCCTAACGTTGTGCTTCTCTCTTGCGATACTCTCTCTTGCGATACTTGCCCTAAACTCTCCTCTATCTCTATCTCTTGCGATTCTTACAGATAGAGTTGTCTCTCTCAGAGAGTTCTCTTCTTCCTCTTCTTTATCTACTCTACGACTTTTTGTGAGTGCGGTGGTTCCTCTGTGCTATGGTTTCCATTTGTTGTGGTTCATCTATGTTGTAGTTTCTCTATGTAGTGGTTTCTTTGTGCTTTGGTGTCTCTTCTTATTGGATAATTCTTACCTTAACTATGTTTTTTTTTTTGGTTTTTGGAAATGCATATATGGCTATATATGGCTGAGATTTTATGGTTTTCTCTTTGCAGTAGTTCCTTTGTGTGGTGGTTCTTCTTCATGCCTGGTAATTTGTACCCTAACTTTTTGTGGCTTTTGATTTTGCAAAAGGTTTATGCCTGAGAATTTGGTGATGCTATTGTGACATTCCTTTTTCTCTCTGAGCTATGTTAAATATTTTTTATGGGAAATGTTTATGTTAAATAGTTTTTTTCATGATAATCTACACATAATAGTTAAGATCAAAGAAGCTGGTTCATTTGCAATGTGGGATAAGGATAACAAACGATATTTTGCAACCTATGCCTCAAGGAGGTCAAGAAAGGAAATAGGCTGACAACCTATTTAAACAAAGAGGGACAAAAAAATATTATAAAAAAATTTAAGAAAAGTACAAGTAGAGAGTACGATTGGATGCACTTGAAAAATAAGTAGAATCAGCTGAAAAAAAAATGAAAAATTTGGAAGGAGTTGAAGCGAGAAACCACGGGCTTGAATTGGGATCTGATAAAACGAACAATTGATGCTTCCGAGGATTGGTAGACTGGAGACTGACGATGAGATTTTTTGAAATGTCCACTTCTTTTGTTCATTTTTTAATTTTTATTTTCAAGTCCATCAACATGTCAATTGAATTTGTAGGTGGTGTCAGCCGCTAAAAACTATAAATGCATATACATTGATCCTGAACTAGAAGAGAAGTTAGATCGTATGTTTGGTGAGGTTGTGGCCACGGGCAACAATGCATGTGCTCCCAGTGAGGTGTGGTTTGGTGGCACCCCTGTAAATTTGGTAGCTGACCAAACAGGTGATTCAAGCGAAGGCCTCAGCCCGAACCACAATGAGGTTGAATCCAGTAGCCGACTAAAGCGGTCCAGGGTTGAGAAGAAGAAAAAAAGGGAGTTGCTTTCATTAGAACCTAAATATCACACTTAGTGGATTCATGCATCAATGACCCTGACCCATCACAAGCACCATCTGTCCAGCAGGTTATGTGAATTCCGGAGGCAACTCTGGAAATTTATGAGAGCATGTAGTTGTATTTGTTCTCTATGAAGTTTCTTGAAGATCCGATCCGGAGAGAGTTTTTCATGATGATAGACGTCGTCCATATGGTGGATTATCTACGTTATTTTCATGGGAATAGTGACGCTTGAGGGACACTTTTTCACTAGATTCGTTTGTGACATTTCATATTTGTTATTTTTTATTTACTTTGCTGCTTTGAACATTTTTCACTAGATGCTTATGGTTTTTTATGTTGCTTTAGACAATTATGCATGACACAGAAGGTATTCACCGATATGTTGGAGGAACTTCACAGAAATCATGGACTTCATGACTCCACCAGGACGACTTCACGAGAGGCGTTAGTAATACCCCTCTACATACTATGGGAGAATGAATAAATGCAAGGAGCTATGTAACAATTTCGGCACTATTCTGAGACAATTTGCAGATACTTCTCAGTAGTGTTGAATGCACTTGTCAGTTTTTCATTACAAGTTATAAAGCTAACAGATCCTACATTCGAATGGACCCCCATGGAGATTTCGCACGATGCAAGTTATATGTCATTCTTTCAGACAATTTCTTCTATTTAGTCCAATCAATTTTCATATGAATTTAGTAATTACAGAACCCTTCATTATCTTTCTAGAATTATATTGGAGCAATCGATGAAACACACATGGATGCATGTGTTCCAAACCATGAGAAGATCGCATTCATCGGTCGTTGTGGGTCAACAACGCAAAATGTTATGGTCGCATGCAACTTCATCACGTGTTTCACTTCTGTTATCGCCGGTTGAGAGGACAATGCACAAGATAGTCTAATTTTCACATATGCAGCACGAAATTGGAAATACAATTTTCCACATCCGCCCACAGGTTTGCTTGAGACTGAGCTGGCTACCTTTTTTTTTTTACTTCAACACTAATCATTCTATTCACACCAGATAAATATTATTTTGTCGATGTTGGGTATCCATCGCAGTGAAGGTATCTGAGCCCTATCCTGATACAAGATACCAAGTAAACACCTTGAGCGAGCTAGCATTGCACACGAAGCTGGAATGAAATATTCAATAAAAGGCACTCCTCCTTACGCTGTGTTATTGAGAAGACTTTTGGGGTTTGGAAGAACAAATATGTTAAACTTTGCGATATGCTAACTTACCCATTTGTCAAATAAGTGCAGATTTTGATTACCACGATGAATTTTCACAATTATGTTCGGTGGCATTTTTCCCTCAACGATATCGACTTTTGCAGGGTAGAGGAGGATCATGCACATGTCCGTGTTGAGGCATATGAGTATCGGCTTGGACAGTCTTTGTCACAGACCGAAAATGATGTTTCTGAGACCTGCACTTAAGATGAGGAAGGTGCAAGCAAAATAACAGAGTTGAGAGAACGAATTACGGATGTAATAGTTGGTGGGTGATTGGAGACAATGTTATTTTTTTTATTTTTGTTAATTGTAAATTCACATATGCTGTGATTGGAGAGTGTTACTTTTTATTAAGGATGCGGTAAATTCACGTATGGAAGGTTGGTCAGCTTTCAAAATCCCAGTATGAACCTATCCATGCCGCCCAGGTCTCACTGTGTCTGGTCCATACACAGGAGTGGTCGCAGGATTATTGCAGGGGTCGTGGGACTGTAGCAGGGTTTATGGAAAATTTCCCATGCAGGAAGCTCCTGCATCCCCCAGCATCATGTATGAGGAATATGAATTTGGTTAAAATAAATTTAATAAACTTCATGAAAGAGTACATGAAAGTCTCTTTTTTATTTTTATGGAGCTTGAGTTTACCTGGTGATTTTTCTTGAGCAATCCAACATATTTGGTGCGGTTTTACAGCTTGCGAATAAAGAAATCCAAAATCTGACGAAGATCTAAGTACTGTTTAGCTGATGATATCATTTTTTTTATGGCAATTTGATTCATCTGTCGGGTAATCTTTCATGTGTTGCATGTGGAACTCGCTTCTAAATTTGTCTTCCCTTACCTTTTCTGATAAATATTTCATTTATAGGGCCCTTGCTTGAATTATCAATGACGTGGAACTTTCTTTTGCTTAGATACTCTTTTCCCCTCTTTATTTGCATCAGTTGCAAGAAGCCATGTTGCTTCATTACCCTTGATAACCCAATATTGGATGTCTTTTTAACTATATGAAAATGACTTTTAGACAATTCAATCATCTGCATAAAGTTTTGGAAAATTTACATACATACTGCACAATTCTTTTTTATATGCATATCTAAAACCTATAAACTTATACATAAAAATATGAATTTCACTTTGAAAAAGTGATAATGGTGTTATTTTTTATGATGTTGAAGATTTGAATGGTATGCGCGTAAATTGAATGATTAAATGTTATATATGTAAATTCACAAGAACTGTGCTGTATGTATGTAAAAGCCCCTAAAGTTGTAACATGTAGCTTCTCTTATAGGTATGGCTACAAAGATGTGCGAAAGGAACACCACCAGATTTTTGAGCAAATCTTGATTGCGAGCCTCGAAAAGTTTATTCGTCGAGAAGCCCAGGAGCGCTCTCTAGAGAGTGACGACAACCGTGACTCAGATTCTGAAGAACAAGAAGAATCATGTTCAAGAATTCTCGTCGCTCCCAATGGCAACTTATATTCTCTTGGCTTTCCTCTCCTATCTGACTATGACGGTCTCGAGAAGAAGGCGAGCTCAGAAGCAAGCACTTCATCTGACAGAGCTCAAGATGATGCATGGAAGAGCCTGGAGAGTGAGCTCTCATTTATACGCAAGGCAAAAGAGTCTGGGGTGGTTTATCTTCTTGGACGTGGGGATATTAGAGCTAGGAAGGACTCCTGGTTCATCAAAAAGCTGGTTATAAATTATTTCTATGCATTTCTTAGGAGAAACTGCAGAAGAGGGATTACAACATTGAGTGTTCCTCATTCAAACTTGATGCGAGTGGGCATGACTTATATGGTCTGATAAATGAATCCAAAAACTTTCCCATCTGTTTTTGACTTGCAGGATTTACTAACCATGTTCACAAGGCCGTATTTGATGCCTCGTATAGTTTTTGTGTGAATATTCCATATTTTATAGAAAAAAAAATGGTCAGAAAAAGGAGGTAAAAAATCATTATGGTGGATGAAGGGAGATCTAAATCATAATATAAAGGTAAAATTTTTTTCCACCCTGTAGCAGTTTGGTTAAAGAGCTTCTATTATTTGTTCTTCTCTCTATGTTATTTCGACAACTAGATTTATGTAACTAATCCATACTATATTTTATTCATTGCAGAAAGCTAATGTTGCTGAGAAAACAGTATATGAAGGTAAAGGAGAAACTTAGAATAAGCTAGAAGACTGTTACTCTTAATATATTTAGTTTTTTCTGATCTAACACACTGCTTGTATAGGCAATTCGGTTGTAGCTAATGGTGAGGATGAGTTGGAAAATTTGTTTGGGGTGTCAGCTGAGATCCATTTGTGTAGGCAAGTGGAGAACTTATTTGTTATTATAATATAAAACCATGTTGTTAAAACCGCCCCTCAAGTTGATCGTCGAGACTCATAATGCTCAACTTGTTATGTAGATTGATGTAGCGGGCTTTAAGAAAAGATTTGGTGAATATATTTGCAATTTGTTTGAGGAAAAGTTGTACATTGTGATAGTTTTGAAGACACTTGATCTCGAATAAAGTGATAGTTAATTTCAATGTGTTTAGTTCTTGCATGAAATAGAGGATTGTTAGCTACAAATGGTGGAAGTGTTGTCACAATGGAGAGTAGGATGAGTAAGGGGTTCATCGATAGAAACATTGGCACTTATACACCAAGTACGTGCACATAAGCTCTAGGAGCAATTGGCACATGAACTTTTTTGGTTTTAATCCTGATTTCAAGTGACGTAAGATGGCTTGGAGATTCTTATTGCGTGTTCTTCGACAAGCATCCCAGTGAAGGTGAGAAGGGTCGAAGAGGTGGATTTCGGTGATTAACGTGATTTTTGTGTCGAATCGGAGATGGAAGATTGTGGAGCGAATGTGAGTTCTTTGTAAAACTTGATGAATTTCATAGTATAATTTTTTTTGTGGTGTGGTTCTGTGATTTTTTCTGGCTCTCGGGCTTTTTCACCTAAATTTCCGTTTGTTTTTGTAGTTGTTTTGATTATGCTTATGTTCATAATTTTGTTCTAATTTTCTCGAATCCAATTATTCCGCAGTGTAGTTTAGTTTCTAATTAATCATAATCCATGGTAAACTTGGGAATTGTTCAGTTGGAAATTTCTTATCAAACTGGTATCTGAGCGAGGTTCAATTCGAGTGGGAGCAATGACCGAAAAAGCAAGGAGAAGTTCAATGGGACGAACTTCGCTTTCTAGAAGATGCGGTTGGATGATTTGTTATATAAAAAAAATAATGTTTGTCATTACAAGGAATCTTAAGGAAGCCTAAGTCTATGTCTATGTTAGAATGGGAAGCGTTGGACCGGACAACATTGGCTTTGTTTCGGTTGTCACTTTAATCATGTGTTGCCGCCTTCAACATTGTGAATGAGAAACTACGGTGGAGCTCATAGACGCACTGACCATGATGTACGAAAAATCTTCTACTTCCAATAAGGTTTTTCTAATGAAGAAGTTATCTAACATGAAGATGTTGGAAGACAGTTCAATGACAGGGTATCTCAATAACTTCTATGACGAGTCAGTTGTGTTATGTGGGGATAAAGTTTGATGATGAGGTTAGAGCACTAATGATATTTTTTTCATTGTCGGACAACTAGGATAGTTTGGTAATGACGATAAGTAACTCTTTAGGGGCTTCAAAGTTGAACTTTGATGATATCAGGGGTCTGCTTTTGAATGAAGAGGTTCGTAGAAAAACTGTGAATGATGAGTCATCAGGTTATGCGTTGAATGCTGATAACAGAGGAAGAAATATGGACAAGAATACAGGCGGAGTCAAGGCCTCTTTTTCATGTTTGCCCTAATAAATATGTATTTAAAAACTACAATCAAAGTGATCTAGGGAAGGTTTATTTGGAAGATAAGTAAGCCTGCAGTATAGTAGGAAAGGGTGATGATATCAAGTTGTCCAAGTTGTCGAATAGAATAGGATATGAGGTATTAATGATTTATCTATAATTATTTAATGATTTTATTTAATGATTAAATTATATTGCTGGTAGTTTTTTTACAATAAGGAAATTAATAATGTTTCTAATAAAAATTGTTTACATAAAATATATTAGGTTTTTTTATATATTTTTAGATTAAATTTAATTATTTTTCTTTATAGCATATATATTCTAAAGTATATGATTTAAATTGATAATTTTAGATAAATCATCTTCTTGAAATGATAGGCCATAATTATATCACATAATATATTTGTCTCTGAAATATTTCTAGAGTCATAAATGAAATTTTGATTTTATATGACTCTAAAAATGCATCACTTGCAAAATATAATTCCAACATTTTAATTGGAGAAATATGTTTAAATTTTCCTTTAAGAAAAAGTTATCTTTAATGGGAGGCAACTTTTTGTATTCATAAATTAATCATTCTATCCATAACTCTTTAAAAATTGTTTCAAATTGATTTAAAGCAGTTTGAGTCTATTTCAACTTGTCATTCTTGCACTCATAGTTTGTCATTCTTGCTAAAGAGTGAGCTCGTTCGAGAAGACATCAATAGTATGGATGGGGCATGAAAGAGATGCGTTCATTATAAGAGCTTGTTGTGGATGTGCATAAATAGGATCAGTGATATATGAAGGAGAAAAAAAGAGCTTAATGGCAACGGGTATTAATAATATTGATGTCATGCAAAGGAGAAGAGAAGTTCATAATGGGATTAGACCAATAGCTTGTGAGGGAAAAGGTAAGTTCAAGGCTAGAGCTTGTTAAGACATGCATTGATTGGACTATGAACGTGTGAGGAGTTCACAATGGAAGTCATAACCTCAACAAGGTTTATAAAAAGTCAAGATGGGAGCTTAGTGGGGGATAAGTCATAAGAGAAATTCACAATGGGAGTCATAAAACCAACGAGGTTTGAAGAAGAAGAAGAGGAAGTCACATTTGGAACTTGGAAGTCACTGAAGAAGCATTATGATTTGGGATGGGAGTTCACGAGAGAAAGCGTTAATAAGAATGAGATAACATGACCAGTGGCATGAAGAAGAGAAGATCATGACTCACAATATAATGAGCGATAGAAAGAACTAACTATTGAGATTTAATTGATGGGAGTAAAACTATTAAATTGAGTTTTTTGTGAGCCATTGAGCTAAGTTTAGTCAAACTTGGTCTCAAGCATTATATTATATGTGATATAATTTATTAAAAAACTTGACTAACAAGCTTATTGACGAGTTGAGTATGATCATATTTAGGTCACTTACATCCTTAGAAGAGATTGTCGATATGTTAAGGAGACCTTTCCCTTCAAATAACTACATCTCCATAGATAATTGCAAACCTCTAGAGCAATTCAAACAAATCTGAGACTTAGTTCAAATATAGTTGATTCGAATTGGTTCTATTTTGACTCGAGTCAAAGCAAGTTCAAATAACTATTGATTCAAATGAGTAATCCATGAATACAATGTAGTATTCCTCATTCGAAGTAATTTTATCCAAATTAAATTTTTAAATATATTTCTCCAAAATAAAAAAAAAATTGAACAATATATACCTTATAATAAACTCAATTGAAAAATATCTTTGATATTTGTCTTATTGTAAAAATTTATTTATTATTTTTTTCAAAAAAAATTACCCGTCATATAATTCCGGATTGTTTATTAAAGTATAGCAGGTTGTTTATCATTAGTTTGAACCAACTTCAAATTTGAACATTTAATTGAACCTGTTTTTAACTTTATGTGAATGTGGTTCAAACCTTCCATTCATTCGTGCAAGCACCATGATAACTTCTTTAGCGAGTCATGCCGCTCCTCATCAGTCCGAGGATGCCTTTTCTAGCAAAAACCTATCCCCATCGGGCTCCCATCATAAAGTCCTCCTCTTTTGTACACAATGCAATTCTTGAAGCGATGGTCTATCACAAACCATCTCCGGCCTCTTCACCAAGCGATGATTTATGATGAAATCCTCTTCTCCATTACAAATTGACAATCAATTTGACATCTACCTCCAATGAGTTCCCACCATGAACTCTGCATCACCACTCTTATGGATAACTTCTCATATCTCGCTTGCGAGATATGAATGCACCGAGCAAGTTTGAACGTATGTTAAACTTAGAACCGATTCAAGCCGAGGTTCACATCAAGGTTCAAATTTATTCCAAATCAATTTTGAATTAATAATTTTAACTAATGTAAAATGATTTGGAATTTACTGTCTAGAAGAAGTATAAAATTAATTTTTTTTTCGAAATAAATATAATTTCAGGCATTGTGCAAAGTTTCCAAAAATATAATTTAATTTGTAAAAGATGATATTACGTACGCAGTTCATTAATCGCAATGTTGTAAATCATAATAAGTTTTGGGGCAGTTTTGAATATTTTAAATTTTTATTAAAGAGAGGTGAGTGGGCCCCGCATGCCGGAGGTTATATCCATCATCATCTCGATAGGAACTGATGAACCTCATCTCCGGCAATCGACGATGACTTATACGCGGGAGATGATCGGAGTGATCGGCGGCGGCCAGATGGGCTCCGGGATCGCTCAGCTCGCCGCCGTCTCTGGTTTCGACGTCCGCCTACATGACTCCGATCCCGTCGCCCTCCACCGGGCTTCGGAGACCATTGGAACCGCCATCCGGAAACTTGTCTCGAAGGGGCAACTCTCTCAGGTCATTTTTTTTCTCTCCACTTCTTACTCCTATTTCCATCATTATGTTCAAAATTTTCTTCCAAATTTGGGATCGAGTTGTGTCGGTGTTCTGACTAGGGTTTTGATTGTGGTTTCAAGTAGTGTGGGATTGTTGGCTGGGTTTTGTTCATTTGATGGGTTTGAATGACTCTGGAGAGGGAACTTTCGGTTGCACTAGATTTGGTTTTTGTTGCGTTATAAGTTCGGCGTAAGGGAGCGGTTATTGAACGAGGTGGTTTTTGTTGCGTGAAAGTAACCTTCTTGCCATCCTTGATGAAATACCTCTTGGTATTAGCGTGGAGATCAGCTTGGCATTAGTTAGAAGGCGGAAGTTGTATCACAGAGGGAGTTCTTCTTGGCTTATTGAGCGATCGTGCCTGTGTGAGCTACACTAATTTTACAATTGTTGTTGATTTGAATCTTTTCAGTTAAGCCACATTAACGCCATTAATTCAAGAGTAGATATGTACTAGGCATGCTGAAACACAAACTAGAAAGGATAACTTGACAAATAAGTACAGATGAATAGTATGAGTATGATCCATTGAAATAAAATAACTTAAAATAGCATTAAGTGGTTTGAACTTGTGCAAGGAACGGTGTAAAATCGTTTCATCAGATTGGCATCTAAAATCAATGCTGAAGGATTAGCAAATGTAAAGCTTAGACTAAGTAATTATAAGTAACAGAAATCAATATTGTGCTACATGATATGTTAAAAAAAAGTTGAACACCTCATGAATCACTAAATGAAAGCTAATAAACAATAAGAAATGAGATAACTGAAACAATGTAAGTGAGATATCAATAATGATGATAATGACGATGATTAGAATATGCAAACCAAAATATATGCCCAATATATGAACTTTTATGAGCTTTGCTCACCTGATAAACTTTATGTATGGTTTCAATAGATTTACTGTTTGCCATGTGTTTATGGTTCAATAAATTGATAGAACTGACATGCTTCTTTACTCCTTGGAGCTATTAGATAGATGCTAGATACAACAACAACAACAACAAAGCCTTAATCCCACTACGTGGGGTCGGCTACATGAAAACTTTTTCTCCATTGCGTCCTATTTAGTGTCATATTTTCATTTAGTTCTAGTAAATTAAGATCATTTTTAATACAATAAGCCCAAGTCTTCCTAGGTCTACCTCTGCCTTTCTTAACACAAGTCGAAAAAAGCCCAAATTAAGATCATTTTTTAGTTAGATGCTAGATGAAGTATAAAATTTGAGTGGTGAGAATCATGTAAATTACATAAAGTATGGAGAATTCATGACCTAATGTAGCTCATGTGGAGGTGTTTTGTTTCCTTCTTAATTAATAAGAAAATTATTTGTACTAGGCACATTTGTATAGACTAATTGAACTATGAATTATTCATATACTCTTTGAGAGTTAAAAAACTACCATTACATGCATTGTTTAGAAAAACCAATTCTTTGAATTAGAGTTTAATGATGACTATACTACTGGTGCTGGATAAACATACAAGCATGCTTTTTTTAAGATAAAATATAGAAATTTCATTAGAAATTTCCTATTTTCATTTTTCACAAATGCATTTGTAATTTTTTGTTGTTTCAATAAGTAGCATGTTCATAATATATTTTTTGTACGTTTATATCGAGTAAAATACCTTTATAAGGCCTAATGATTTGATATCAATTAGTAATTTTTTAAAATGAATTTACCTTCTTTTTGTCTCATTATGATCAATTACATTATCAATATTTTATATAAATATTAATAAATTCCTCATATGATGTTAACATTTTTCTTTCTAGAAAAAAGACTGGTTCTATATTTCAAATGTCTGTAATAAACATTTAAACTTTCTTTATAAAAATCTTAAACACACTCCTATGTCATAACATCGATTGTTCTTATAAAATTTAGTATCAGAAATATCTTTCTATTATTTTTATTAGAGGTGCTTAGCTGCTCAAAAACTTCAATTCAAAATTAATATGCTTTTTGCATTTAAATATCTATATATTTTTTATAATTATAGTTATATCACTGTTTCAAATTCAAATAATTTGAATGAGCGACACAATAAAATTCTTAGATTAAGGTTATTTTTTTATTTTATAAAATTTTAATATGCATATATAAATAAACACACATTTAAAGTCATCTCTAGACGTGATTTTGATAATGATTTTAAGTTTCAATGCTTTTAGTTCAATTATGATGATTTTGAATGAAGATGAATTGAAACCTGCTAATATTTTTTGGGCCGACTAGTTTTGAGTGTTTTTTGCAAAAGTTTCAAAGATTTGCTAAAATTTTGTAGAAACTTAAGCTCTTCTACTGAAATTGATAAATTGTGATTGAAACTTCTCCAAAGCTCAAGTAGTTATGAAATTTATAATAGAATTCCATCATTTAGTTTCTTGTTTTAACTTAAATCTTAAATAAATCATCAGCTTTTTTTTATGTGCTAAAAATATATTGTATAATATTATATAATATAAAAATAATTGAAAACCACCAAATGAGACTAAACATAACACATGATATGAGAAATTTATGATTCCAACAAATATGATGCAGAAGCGATGGCCAACTTCATGATTCTAAAATTCGATTTTAACCATATCTGGCATGTTTAAACATTGAATCGGTAAGAGTTGTCTGGCTGCATATGAGAAGAGGGGTTCCCACCCACCTCCTTCGTCCTCTTGACCATTAGATCATGTTACCCAAACAAGCAGTAGCTGCTTGCTTCCATCATTGCTTAATCCCTCCAGCATATCTTCTTTTTAAAGATCACATCTACGGGATCAGATTGCTACTTGACATCTCTGATTCAACATGATTCATTTAGATCTGAATGAACAGGTGGTCTTGATTAGATATCGGTAGCTTTTGATTCACATTTAGATGAAGCTGACAATTATTATGGACATTGCTAGATTGACTGAAATGTTATAATTGGGAAACTTTTTAGCATCCTTGATGAAGCCAGCTCAGTGTCATCATGGGGGGAGGCGGGGAGCTATCCCACCTCATCTTTGCCTATAGGCTATGCTAGGTAGGAGGCAACCACTAGTTTCCAGCACCACCTCATCCCCTCGACACCTCTTATTCATGACTGGTACTTCTACTAGCTCGAATCGTGAATAATTTTTTTTGAATTTGACATGATTCGTTCATATAGATGTAAATTGTCAGGTGGTCTTGATTATATTTGATTGTGTTAGATGCATATTTAGACGAGGGAGCTAGCAATTAATTGTGAATTTCTAGATTGACTCGAGTGTTATTATTAGGAATCTTCTTAACATTTTGATGAAAGCCAACCTGGTGCCAACATTGGGCAACCTGTTGGTCGGCTTAGCAATAATTATGATGGCCAAATTAGCATCAATTTATGATCTTGGCATTAACAATACATGTTGAGTTGAAATTTGATAGTGAGGCTGAATTGGTATATTAGGAGGTCCTTCATGACGACAAGAATGAAAGCTTACTTAAAGTTTGTGTGGATGATCATTTGGGCTTCAATGAGTGGTGTAACTAGTGAAGATTGGTTTGGCAAGGAGAGGTTAGTCTAGTGTTAGTGAGGAAGACCTTCTCGGTGTTGACAGCAAAAGTTGGACTTTACATTTGTGAGGGATGTCTATAGGACGTTAGAGAGGAAGGTTATCTTGTAATAACAGTTTAATTTGTGCCTTCTTTAGCGGTATAATATCTATGATACTGGAGTCTCCACATATAACCCTTTTGCACTCACTAAAATTTAGTTAACTTTGCTATTAATGGATTATTGGTTGGCTTTAATGCGTGTAGCAAGAATTGGCTTATTTTTTAAGGGTTTTTTTTTAATCTTTTGTGAGTTCTCATTTATGCTCCTTCTTCTCTTTTTAATTCATGTTCCTTTATGCTATAAAATTGTAATGGGATTGGCAACACTTAATGCTTATGTGTATTTCCGCCTTTGTTCATTTATCTCATAAATATGAAGTTGATTCTTTCCATCGCCTTTTTTTAGCATACCTGGAGTTGAGGGACATAATTAGTTGTATTGAAATTATGGCAATATTTTGAGGTTTGTGAAGATTTTGCTATTTCTGTTAGTGGGAGATGCATACTTGTTTGTACCTTTTTGGTTTGTTGTGCCAACTCACGTTTATTTTTCTGGTTAGTTAGATTTGCTTTTTGGCTTTCTAGCTGATTATACCAACTCAACTCTATTTTTGGTTGTTAGGCTAACTTATTTTTCTTTTATTGCATTGGTTGTTATCCATTCTCTCGTGGCATAAGTCGAGGACAATTTATTAGATGTGGACTATATATTGCTTTACGTGTGCATCACATAACGATAAATTATTAATTATTTTTTTATACATAAGACTACTTACATAAATCTACATTCCATAATTTCTCTAAGAGTCTAACAAAATTGTATTGGCCATATGAGGACATTGGGATGGGAAAAAAAAAAGATGCTTTGTTTTTAGCATCCTTGCAGTTAGTGTGGGCTTTAAAAATTTTCATCCCGTCCTCTCTATAGTAAGACTTTTAATTATTTTAAGGGTAAAATTTTTATAAGACGTAATGGACTGTAGATAAGACATCATGCAGAGATTTTGTCTATCATTTTTGCGAAGACATTTTGATCTGAGATTTGAGATTTCCCATATGCGCAAACTTTTATTGTTAATTACGCCTCTCGATAATGAGAGAATTTTCAATTAAGGCTAATTGTTGAGCGCTAAGTATTTAGATTTAGCATATATTAACAACATATTTAAGTTTTTAAATTATGAAATATATCACCATAAGCTTAAATTGAATGGTGGAAGGAATGATGACAAGCTTGATTAAGATCCAATGGTTTTATTGACTCTATTCTATTAAAAATGAGGAGGTAGGCAACCTAATTTTATTTTAGTATGTTTTCCAATAACTTCTTGCACTTTGATTTGTGAATCATAAGGTTCACCTGATATGACATAAAGTCTTTAATTAAGTCATATCGACTTTGATTTGTCTTGAACAAACATCGAAACCATGTCTATGAGATGTCATTGTTGAAATGTATTATTCAGTCATATTTGGTTAACTATCTCGTCTGACTAAGTAAATTAAGGTTCATAATAATGAAGGACAACAAAATCATAGGATCTGTTTTTAGTCATCATTGTTCTCCCAAACATTTGCTCTAAGCTCACAGTATGAATTTGTACAATTTAAAATTAAAATTGCAGGTATTATATGTTGAATAATCAACACCCTAACTATTAGTCTTAATCGTAAATTCTCTCTCATTATCAGGAGGGGTAGTTAACCAACTTGTGTCCATGGGAAACATTGAATCTCATATCAAAAGATTATCACAATTTAAGGGCAAAGAGTAATGCCTTATCTATAACTTAATCCGCAACATAAAAAAACTTTAATCTAAAGGGAAGTTGGGGTGCGAATTTTTGAAGCCCAAGATTATTAGTCCATAATCAACTCCCAATGACTGGATTATGAGGTAGCAATGATGATGATGATGAGTCCCAACTCAACTTTTTTAAAGTTTGGTCCTTCTAGTTCGTTGCCCTTTCAAGTCACTAAACCCAAGGCCCTTTTCAATTTGCTAAGGCATCATCACTCCACAAATTTTTGAACTTAGAGGGAGTGAGCTTATTCAACCAATCTATCTAAAACATGCCCGTTTTCCTATCCATTTTCTTTTTCAATACATCCACATGTTTTATTAGAAATTCATTAGATTTACGATTGCCGAGTTTTTGATCATTTATTTTAAAGACTTTAATGTGTGGCCTAGAGTACATTAGACTAAATGGCAGAACCTGCCTTTTTTCTTTCCGTATACTACTTTTTGCAATATATATGCATAGCTAATATTATATTTAAATCAAAGCTAAGGGATTTAATTGTGGAAATATATTTCATCTATACGGTTCTTCTGCATCATTTTGCCTTTTTTCTTTCCGTATACTACTTTTTGCAATATATTTGCATAGCTAATATTATATTTAAATCAAAGCTAAGGGATTTAATTGTGGAAATATATTTCATGTATACGGTTCTTCTGCATCATTTTGCCTTTTTTCTTTCCGTATACTACTTTTTGCAATATATTTGCATAGCTAATATTATATTTAAATCAAAGCTAAGGGATTTAATTGTGGAAATATATTTCATGTATACGGTTCTTCTGCATCATTTTGATTTCGTGAATTTGGGTTACAGTGGATCTCTTCTCTAGGTAAATAGGAATGGAATTTATTATAATTTTGATTTCCTCTTGGTGAAATTCTAATGGACTTGGATAAATCTTATTTGGTAGTGAGAGAGGATTGCAAAAACATGAAGGACGACCATTAAAATATTCAAACAAAGAGGGAATCATGCAGTGCGGGCATAAATTTTTACTCCGTTGATGGCTGCCGATGCAGTTTACCCTAAATCTAATGGTGCCAATAATAATATTCATGTAGGTTTATCTGAATAGCTCTAGTCAACTTGCATATCGCATAAATATAAATATTCTTATTGGAAATAAACGGTCATGTCTAATATATGAATTATGTTCAGTCAATGAGAAGCTGAAATTTTCTCTGAGCAATTTATGTGGACGTATTTTTCCAATTAAATGTTCTGCGTGCATATTCTATACCAGGTATGTACATTTGATAAATTCCTTTGGTAGATTCTATATTTTAAGAAAAAGGGAAGTTTACATGCATATCACACAATTGTTATGTATTTACATATCTAACGCCCAAAGTTTGATATTTGAACTTATAACACTTTGGATTAATAAACCTATGCATGAAAAGATACATTTCAATTTTAAAGTAGTGATGGTGGTATTTTTCATGTAGATATGAAAGTTTAGGTGTTAGATAAGTAAATATATAAAATTTGTGTGGTATATATTTAAATGTCCCTAAAAATAAATTGCGTTTCTGTGAAGGAGAGATGACATTAGACTCGAATGGCCTGCTTCATATTGTTTGGAAATACCATCTGATTATATAGTTAAGATGTCCAATTAATACGCACTAAAGATCCTTTTTTTTCCACTGTTTTACTTCATTTTTGCAGCCAGCTGGAGCTGATGCCTTTAATCGTCTGACGTGTACATCCAATTTGGAAGATCTTAGGCATGCAGATGTTATAATTGAAGCCATCATCGAGTCCGAAGATATCAAGAAAAAGCTGTTTTCTGATCTTGATAAGTTAGTCAAACCTTCTGCAATTTTGGCATCCAACACTAGCTCAATCTCCATCACTCGCCTTGCTTCAGCAACCAGCCGTCCTGCACAGGTCTGCCTTTCCACCGCCTAGTACATGTTTGCATCTCAAAAATTTATGTAAGCTAATTTTTTTATAAAATGGATTCATTATTGATTTGTTAACTCTTCAAAAGGCCTTAAAGAGTGAAATTAAGATGCCTGGTTTATGGTTTTGCAATTAATATAGTTGTAATAAGCTAATTATTTTTTGAAATTAGTGAAAATTTATAAACGTGGAGATAATGAAACCAGTGAGCTGAATAAAGACTGTATATGAGATATATTATTCTAATATGAGTGAAGTTAATCATAATTAATTGATATGCTTAGAGGATCAAGTTATACTTCAGATATTATGATTTTTAAGTGTGCTTGATTTAGAGTACACTTATCGATATAGATGTTAGTTTAATTTCTAGTTTAATTTTTAAAAAACAACCATAACGTGCTGCACCAATGTTATATTATTAAGAAAATATTAAATACTTGTAAATTTTATAAAGTTGTAATTTGATTTGTCATGCCATACAAATATTAATTTCTGGCTTTGAAAAAGTTATTAAGACCAAATTGAGTGACATAATTGAGAATGTGTAGATGGATGTGTGGTTTAATTGTGTAGGACATATTGAAAGATGATTATATTAATATTTTAAGTGCATTTGCATGCATAACACTCACTTCTTATATATTTACATATCTAACATCTTAACTTTTATATTTGCAGACATAGCACACAAACTTTTAACGTCGCATAAAAAATATCAATTTTTTTAATTTTTAAAAGTTTAATACACCTTTTTATGCATAGGTTTTGTTACATATGTAAATGCATGAGAAATATGTGGTATGTATGTAATTTCTCTAATAATTACTGATGGTAAGGTGTTGCAATATATTTGGGATGCTTTGACTTGTAAAAATGAGGGTAGAAGATACTCCCAAAAGACATGTAAATGAGATGTGAAAGAAAATGATAATCATTGATCACTGTGCTGTGATTTTGCTGAGGCGAACTTTGTTTATGCTGCATGGGGTATGATGGATGTATTTTGTTTATATCTAATAATTTTTGGTTATATCTAAGAATCACAAGATTACTGAAATTAAAACTTGGATGTGTTTTGTAGGTAATAGGCATGCATTTTATGAATCCTCCTCCTATTATGAAGCTGATTGAGATAGTGAGAGGTGCAAACACATCTGAGGAGGTATTCTCAAAAATTAAAGCTTTATCGGAAAGGTAACTTTTGAACCCTGTAATTCTGCTTCATTGTTTTAATTCAACCTAAACCCAACCTTTAATTCATTGTAATTTCATTTCATACAATTACAAATAATGTCTACTCTAGCTTGTTACTGCAGCATTGACAAAGGAACGAGTAATCATCATCATCATCGTTATATCATTGGAAGAATAATGGGGATCTTATGTTAATATCTTATTAAAAAGGGGCATTTACATGCATACCACCTACTTCCTATGTATTTACAAATCTAACAACTAAACTTTACCTTTTACATTTATACCGCCCAAGTCTTTTACATCACAGAAAAAAATCACTATTTTAATTTTAAATGTGAAATAGACTTTTTCATGCATAAGTAAGGTGGCATATATGTAAAAATTGAAGTTTAGGTGTTAGATATGTAAATCCATAGGATTAATCGGTTTGTATGTAAATCTTCTATTAAAAAATGCATCTTGTTCTTGCCTGTTTCTTCTCATTCATTTATATAACTCCAAATTCATAATTAGCTTGCAAATATTTCAAACCTCCTAACACTTAATTTCCTCGATTTGCCTTTGGATGTTTGGTTCCTCCTAGGAGAAAGTTTGTGCTAGTTTGGGCTGTTGAATTTTCTTTGAAATAAGCACGATATATGTTCAACCAATCAAAATTTCTATTCCAACTATCTTAAAACAAATCAACTTTATATAAAACTTTCCTGACCAAACTATCCTGCATATATTGATCCAAATTTTTAGCAATACTCGGTTTTCACCTTGAACCATATAACTCTTTTGTGTTTTAGATTCGGAAAAACGGTTATATGCTCGAACGATTACCCGGGCTTCATTGTGAACCGAATTCTGATGCCTATGATCAATGAGGCATTTTACGCACTATATACCGGTGTAGCGACGAAAGAGGACATCGACACCGGGATGAAGTTGGGAACAAACCATCCAATGGGTCCTCTGCAGCTTGCAGACTTCATTGGATTAGATGTATGTCTCTCAATAATGAAGGTTCTTCATCAAGGACTAGGAGAGAGCAAGTACAGCCCATGCCCTCTTCTGGTTCAGTATGTTGATGCCGGTCGGCTCGGGCGAAAGAAGGGTATTGGGGTCTATTCTTATAGAAACGAAACGGTAAGAACTAAACCGGTATCTTCTCTTTAAAAGTTCAATGGAAGATTTACATGCATCACTCAATTCTTATGTATTTACGTATCTAACACTTAAATTTTTATATATATTCCATTTTACGCATGCAAGAAAGCTTTGGGTGGTATAAAAGTAAAAAATTGAAGTTAAGGTGTTAGATATTTAAATATGTAAGAACTAGGTGCTAATGCATGTGAATGCCCCAAGGACTTTAAGGTAGGTCATATATATGACACCACAAAATTAGGTTTATTCCTTCTAGCATTCAAGCGTATGAATATGATTATTCTGGACCTGCTTGTAGGTAAAATGCTAATAAGCTATAGCTCAACTTGATGAGGAATGCTGGAAATTTATTTGCCTGTAATATATCATTTCCAACTTTCAATACCTTTTTTTCACATGTATTAAGCAGGTGCTACATAATGTTTTTTTTTTGCTTGAACTGAAGCTACTTGAGATTACTTTCATGGGTTTGGTTTGCAGCTGTTATGCATGAAATTTATTCTTATGTATTCAGCTATCTAACATCTACAATTTCATATTTACATGTATAGCACTTAAATTGTTAATGTGACATCAAAAATATCATTATTAAAAACTTTTAAAAAGTAAAATACAAATGTTCATCCGTTCATGCAGATTTTTATGAAACCAGAGTGCTGTAAGTATAAATATCAATTTGTGTTAGATATGTAAATAAATAGGAATTTAATTCCTATTGTAGTGTGTATGTAAGTTTCCCAATATATTTGATGCACCTCCAACAAATTTTCATCAACTGGCAGGGATCGTGAGGCATAGCATAGATCTCGAGGTAATATTTTTATCAAGTAATGTTTAAACCTTGATAAAAAATCATTTAGAACTTTGATTTTAGCAAGCTTACATTCAATCGACAAGCTCAATAGGACAGACCCAATGATATCCAAATTTGCTCAGATTAAATCATTAAATCACTATTAAAAGATTTTCGGACACATTTGGAAGGTCGAACGAATGTTGAATCTAGCAAGCCTATAGTCAAATCGTGTCTTGATAAGACGAATTCAACGAGCCCAAGATCACTCAATTCTGACATCTTTAAGGCACTCAAATGTTCATTAAATGTTCATTAAATGTCATCTGAAAGGAAGCTCTTCGGACCGTCTGATTAAAGTATTTATATTTATGCATTAATAGACCCAGCACACTATAATAGAGCTCCACTTCTCTCATGAGGGAGGAGGAGAGTATGAAATATGAGAAATAGCTTGAAGCTTTAAGGAGATCAAGTTCAGCACCACCACTATTGACCGTCGTCGACCTCCGCTGATTGTTGTTAACTTTTGTCGATTACCGTTGATCACCACTGACTGTCGTTGACTTTCGTCAATCGCAGTTGGTTGTTGTCGACTGCGATTTACAAGTCAACCGTCCACTTTCATCCATTTTTCAAATCCTTAGTCAAATATCAAAATTCAAGGTAATTGTATAAGATTGGCTCATATTGATTTATTTTCCATCCTTCTAAGTTTCTGATAGTTTCTCCAAGCAAATAAACATGTTTTTAGATAAATTATCTTGGTCTTGCAAATCATCATGAAAGTCGATGGCTTTAGAATGATCCTTCACTGTTTATTAGGCTAATAGTGCTTGCCTTTTAATGAAACCCTTCATCTCTCAAAAGCTTTCAACATGCACCATGATTTAATTTAAATTTGATAAAATGTTAATCACTTCATAGTTTGGATTAACAAAAATTAATTACAGTTAATTGGTACTCTATAAAAAAAGATAAATGTAATAAAATATTTTTATTCTTTTATATGGTTTAGATTCATTGAAAGTCAGTAACTACAATTACATTCTTGAGAAGCTAATATTTGTCTATATTCATTTCTTCATTATAACAGTATTATTAAATATCAATTCATTTGTATTTACACATCACCACCTCAAGGCTTTGGTGTCATGAATTTATGCATAAAAATGGATATTTCTTTTACAAAATGTTAGTATTAGTGATATTTTTATGTAATATTAATGAAATTTAAATATTATATATGTGAATACCTAACTATGCAATATGCATATAAATGTCTCATGTTTTTAATGTATTATATGGCCTCTATCAAGATACAAAACTTAAAATTTTTTAATCCTTTTATAAAACTTAAAATTTTTTAATTATAATATTGTTTATTTCAATTATGAATTAGTGAAGAGTGGGTGAGTTGGAAAAAAAACTTACACAACTCCATCCACTCCCCCTCATTAATGCTCATTTAATAAATTGCCAGAGTTGGAAACCTCAAAAGCAGGCAAGTGTAGAAAGAAACCATAAAGAATGAAAAAGAGTAGCAGAGCATGATGCCTCTTTCTCTTGTCCCGTACAAAGTAAGAAACCTCACCCACTCCAATTTGTGGAGCCTGCCATTGTTAAAAAACTACCATTGCTATATTTTTAATAATAAAATACAAATTTTTTATGCATAAGTTAACTGACCTAGATGTGCAAATACATACAAATTTTGGGGTATATCTATAAATATTTCTTATTTTTAAATGTTTTTTAATGCTTTTTATATCTAATCTCTTAAACATATGATCGGATTAGGAGAGTAGATGTTTTAGATTCGACTTGTGTTAAGAAAGACAAAGATAAATCTAGAAAGACTTGGGCTTATTTTTTTAAAAATGATCTTAATTTACTAGAACTAAATGAAAATATAACACTAAATAGGACTTAATGGAGAAAAAAGGTTCATGTTGCCGACCCACGTAGTGAGATTAAGGCTTTATTGTTGTTGTTGTTGTTTATATCTAATCTTGGAGAGAATGAATAAATAAAATATTAATAAAATGATAAATACATTCATTATCCTTTTTTTTTTACTCATATTTCCTTAAAATTAAATCTTCATCCTCTAAATAAAGAGAAACTTAGGCTCCATTTCATTAGGATGGATAAAAATCAAGCTATTTTCAAATAAAAGATTAACTAAAATGAAATTCAAATCAATTTATTTCTTTTTTTACCTAATCTCTCCCTCTCTCTCCTCTGTCTCCGAGGTATGTATTATAGATTTGACCTTTCCAAAAGCACACAGGCGACACTCCAAAGCTGCACTCTTTCTTCTTCTCTCAGTCCACCATAAAAGTATGTAGCATTAAAGTGCATCCGTCCAAAAATGTAAATAGAACCATCTTTCCCAAGCGATATTGAATTTTTATTTAATGCAACTTTGCAAGCGAAGCTTTAAAACTTCCTTTAATGGCGGTTTTGTGTTGGGTCCATGGGAAACTCTTCCTTCATTCACAAGGTGAGCTCTTCTCGGATATATGAGTTCTCAAATCCCCCAACCTTGACCACCTCTCGAACCCCATTACCCATGCAATAAAGAATTCATATTTTGGGCTTTGATGCAATAAAGCCCTCGTCTTTGCCTTCTTCTTCCGCTTTTTTGACCCACCTTCTTCATTTCCATGGATTTCTCTTCTCCTTTGTTCATAAAATATGCGATCTTGGCTTGCGCACTGCTGTTCTCCTGCATTTTTTATGGAGCTTCATCGTCTCCCTGCCACTCCGGCGACCTTGTAGCTCTCCGGAACTTCGCCGGAACCCTAACCAACGGCTCTATTCTCCTCTCCTGGCCCGGCGACGATGCCTGCTGCCTCTGGGATGGAGTATGCTGCTCTCAGGATTCAAATGCGGCCTCCAATCTCAGCAGAGTAACCCACCTTCTTCTCCCAAATCGTGGTCTCGAGGGTTCCATATCTCCTGCCCTCTCCAATCTTGACGAGCTCCTTTCTCTCGACCTATCAAGCAATCTCCTTTCTGGCAGCATTCCGCTGGAACTCTCCCTTCTCCGCCGGCTCAACCATCTTGACCTCAGCCACAATGCTCTTTCTGGACCAGTCACCGCCATCTCCGCCATCAACACTCTTCAATCACTGAAACTCTCTTCCAATTTCTTCAAAGCCTCACTAACTGATCTTGGAGTTGACTTGCTCAATCTTATATATCTAAATATCAGTAACAATTCGTTCTACGGTTCCCTCACTCCCAGCATCTGCATTGGATCAACTTTGATTCAAGTTGCTGACATTTCAATGAATTCCTTCTCCGGCGAACTTGATGGGAATATTTTCTCTAACTGCAGCGCTTCGCTAAAGGAATTGAATTTGGGTTCAAATTTTCTTACAGGTAGCCTCCCCGATTCGCTCTTCGATTTGATTTCATTGCAAATGCTGTCTCTTTCATTCAATAATTTCTCCTGCGGTTTGAGTGAGAGATTAAACAAGCTCTCAGAACTAAGGAGATTGATTATCTCCGGCAATAGATTTTCTGGTGAACTTCCTGACGTGTTTGGAAATCTATCAATGCTTGAGCAGCTCATTGCTGATTCAAATTCATTCTCTGGAGAGCTTCCCAGATCTGTTGGAGATTGTTTCAAACTTAAATATTTGGATTTGAGAAACAATTCATTGACCGGGAGCATTAATATTGATTTCTCTGGCCTGACTTTGCTCACTACTCTTGATCTCGCAAGCAATAATTTTGAGGGCGATCTCCCTTCCAGCCTCTGTAATTGTCAGCAGCTTCGAATTCTTAGCTTCGCAAAAAATAGATTGTCTGGAGAGATTCCTAAAGAGTATGCAAAGCTAGAATCTCTCTCTTTCGTATCACTCTCCAATAACAGCTTCCATGACGTTTCAGGAGCAATGGCAGTATTCCAGAGCTGCAAGAATCTATCAGCACTGATTCTCACCAAGAATTTTCATGGTGAACTCATCCCTGAATTATCCTATGATTTCAGGAATTTGTCGATTCTGGCGCTCGGAAACTGTGCTCTTTTCGGCAAAATACCATTTTGGCTCACAAACTGCATTAACCTGCAGGTCCTTGATTTGTCCTGGAACCATTTGAGCGGAACAATTCCTCCATGGATGGGCCGGTTTGATAGATTGATATACTTGGACATTTCAAACAATTCGCTGAGTGGCAAAATCCCAAAGAGCTTCACAGAGCTGAAGAGCCTTAAACTCATTCATGCTTACATAAATCCAAACTCAATGAGTGAGCCATTATACGTGAAGCATAACCGGAGCGTCGGCGGATTACAGTATAATCAAATATCTGGTTTTCCACCAGCAATATATTTAAATGATAATGAAATTAATGGCACAATTTGGCCTGAATTTGGGCAGCTGAAAGCTCTTCATGTGTTGGATTTGAGCAACAATCATATCACTGGAACTATCCCTGAAACCATTTCGAATATGCAGAACTTGGAAATTTTAGATCTTTCTTCTAATGCTCTCAATGGAACCATTCCTTCTTCTCTGAGCAAGCTCACATTTTTATCAAAGTTTAATGTGGCACATAACAATTTGCATGGAGAAATACCAACTGGAGGCCAATTCTTCAGCTTCTCAAACTCGAGCTTTGAGGGCAATCCAGGACTATGTAGAGCATCTGATCCTTGCATTGAGAGCTCAGTGGGTGTGGGACGAACTCGAGAACTCCCTGCCGGCATTGGTAGCAGGATCGGAAAGAGTACCATACTTGGAATAATTATTAGTGTAGCGATCGGAATTGTGGTGCTCCTGGGTGTCATATTGCTCAACTTGTCAAGCAAAGAGGTTGGCGGCCAGGGGGAGGTTGAAGATGAAGTGGAAGAAGGATCAAGGAGATCTTTTGGTTCAACTTCGAAGATGGTGTTGTTCTTTCAGGGTTCTGATAGTAAGGATTTAACCATTAATGATCTTCTGAGAGCTACAAATGGTTTTGATCAGGCCAACATAATTGGTTGTGGTGGTTTTGGGCTGGTTTACAAGGCTTATCTTCCTGATGGAACAAAGGCTGCAATTAAGAAGCTTACAGGTGATTGTGGGCAGATGGAACGAGAATTTCGTGCCGAGGTAGAAGCTCTTTCGAGAGCCCAACACAAGAATCTTGTATCCTTAAAAGGGTACTGCAGGTAGGGGGTGGTATCTGAGTCAAGTTTGAATGAGCTAGAGTGTTTATTCAGCTCGAAGTATTAGCAAATGGGACAAATTTTTCTTTTTTTATTTGGCTCTTTTGCTTAGTGTTAGTTGCTCACATGTTGAATACTACATTAAAATTTTGGGAAATTTACCCACTATAGCGCATAATTCTTCTGTATTTACATATCTCACATCTAAACTTTCATATTTACATACATATCACTTTGATGCTTTAAACCAATGCATGAAAATGTGTATTTCATTTGTTAAAATTTAATAGCGGTGCTATTTCTGCTGTGATATTAAAAATCTGAGTGTTATGCGGATAAATATGAGAAGGTGCAAGACATTTAAATACATAAGAATTGTATGCTATGTATTTAAATGTCCCTAAAATTTTATATGCATGTATGTATGTATACATGCATATATAAGAGAAAAAGCCCAAATAGTCCAATAGTTTATAGAATATACACATACATTCTTACTTACATATATATATACATTTATAGAGAGAGAGAGAGAGAGAGAGAGAGAGAGAGAGAGAGGAGTTATTTTGAAGCCAAAGAGTAAGATATTTTGACAATTGTAACTGCAGGTATGGTGACGATCGGCTACTCATATACTCCTTCATGGAGAATGGAAGCTTAGACTATTGGCTTCATGAGAGAATGGATGGAGGCTGTCTTCTCTCATGGAAGACAAGGTTGAAGATTGCTCAGGGATCAGCAAGAGGACTGCAATATCTACACAAAGTTTGTCAGCCCAACATCATTCACCGCGACGTGAAATCCAGCAACATTCTACTGGACGAAAGATTCGAAGCTCACTTAGCCGATTTCGGCCTCTCCAGACTCATTCGTCCCCATGACACCCACGTCACCACCGAGCTCGTCGGCACTTTAGGCTATATTCCACCGGAGTACAGCCAGACTCTGATAGCTACTCCTAAAGGTGATGTTTTTAGCTTTGGCGTGGTGATAATGGAGCTTCTGACGGGAAGGAGGCCTGTGGACGTTTGTAAGGGAAAGGGTTGCAGGAATTTGGTTTCATGGGTGTTTCAGATGAGGGGGGAGGGGAAGGTGGAGATGGTGTTTGATGAGACAATGTGGAGGAAGGAAGATGAGGATGAGTTGATGAGGGTGCTGCATATTGCTTTTAGCTGTGTTTCTGCTGATCCAAAGCAAAGGCCTTCCATTGATGAAGTTGTTCTGTTGCTTGATCGAGTTGGGAGTGATTAATGATTTTCTTTTCTTTTGTTGTATTCTATCTTTTTTATTATTATAATTTTTTTTTAATATAGTTGGATGTGTGAATTATTTTAAGGAATTCAAAGGGTTGGAGATGAGAATTTGGAGGAATTTGTGGGTATGAAGTATTTTAAAAATTGATTGATTTAATGTCATCCCTACATCTCTTTTTTAAGGGGTATTTATCTGGATGCCACCAAACTTCTATTTAAATTTTACTTTTTTTTATATCTATACCACTCAAATCTATCTTTGCATCTAATTAATGTCAATCAGAATGGACGGAAATTACGTTGTTAAATTAGGAGTTTTTTATAATTAGGAGCTTCCTTATTTAGATTATTTTTAATATCTTTATCATGATTTATTTCCCTTTTAGCTGAATATTTAGATTAGAAATATTCATTATTAAGTTATCTAAAATAGATTATATAGAATATTTTGTACCTAAAATAGATTGTAAGATCATTATTTATTGGAATGAAAGCAAAGGGAAAAGGCAATCGAGCTTACTTAGAATTCAATATATTTGATTTTTAAAAAATTTATGCTCAAAATCAAAAATTACATAAATACCGACAATTTTTATGTGATTATATATCTAACATTTTGATACTTGTAAGAAAAGTCGTAGCAGATTATCGTATTAATGCGGTACAATGATTCAAGACACACTCAAAAGAGAAAAAAATAACTAGTAATTACACAATAAGTTTTTTTTTTTTTTTTTTTTTTTTTTTTTGCGGAAAACCCATAACGAGAAAAAAAAACATGAGGTCTATCCCAAATGAAAAATTCTTTATAAATTGGATATTACATGTACAGTTCCTCGTCTCACTTCTTACTACGTTGGGCGTGGTTGGCGGGTTTGACTGTGATCGATGTAGGCCGGTGGGTGGTGGTGGATGACAACTAGTAGTGGTCGATGGTAGTTAGTGATGGTCAAAAGTGGTCGATAATGATCAACGATGATCGAAGACGGTTGGTGGTAGTCGATAGTGATCTGCGGTGATTGACGGAGATCAGCGGTCGTCTTAAATTTAAAATAATAATATTTTTTATGTGAAAAGATTTAGATAATATAAATGTAAAAAAAATAAAGTTTAGAAGATTAGAGATGTAAATAGATAAGAATTGGGTGGTAAGTTTCCTTTAAATGATTTTGATCCCTCTTTGCAAAAATAACAGAAATATCAAAATGAATAAATTAAGAATAACAACTTATTCTCCGAAAATTTCTGAATTTGCTGGCTAGCTGCTATTATTAGTGGTTCAAAACGAAGAAAACTTGACCGTTAATTCGGATTTTTTTTTTGGCCAAAATGCAGCAGCGTCTGATCTGTATGGGTTCTCAAATCGACGGTCCTCGCAGCACCACGAGTTGTGCAAAATTCAACATCTTAAGGGCGTTTTAGTCATTCGGATATTACATATATGCCGCGCGAGTTAGGGCTTCTGACCCAATTCTTCTCCATCAATCTTGGCGGCTATAAGAGCATCCTATTTGCACGAGAGGGGAGAAGGAGAAGGAAGAGGTGAGGAGCGCCGTTGACAAGCGGCCTTCTCTTGGTGAGTTTATTCGTGCAACCATGCTTTCTCCCTTCTTCCGATCTTTCTCTTATGTTTCTTTGTTTTTTTTGTTTTTTTTTTCTTTTGATTCAACCGCTTAAAAGATTCGTCTTTTTAGATTTACCTGCAGTATTAGTAGATCTGGGAATTTTATAATTTACGGTTGTTTGACGTTTGGTGCTACTTAGATTGAGTAATTTTGATCATCCAGGCTTTCCTTTTTGTTAACTTGCTATGTTTCTTATAGATCTGAAGTCTTCTGTAGTTTTGTGATGTTCTGGATGTATTTTTTCTAGGGGATTCTGGATTATTTGGCGGATAATAATATAGTTTGTATTAATTCGAGATTTCCTTTAGACATTATGCATCAGATCTGCTCCGTTGTGGTTGTATTATGAGCTTATCAAGCTCGATCTACTGGCATATTGTGATCTGTTACCTCTATTGTTGGCTGTAGTAGATAAGAGAATATAAATCATGGTTTTTTTAATTTCAATTTTGGTTGAAGCTACGATTTTCCATGTTTATTCCATCAATAACTTCGTTTGCAAAATATTCTCCTGGGGAGGGGGCGATAAGTTTTTATGTCTTGGGTCATGTATGCAGCGTCTCCTTACCTTGAGAAAGCTATTGTTGTGATTGTGTGGTTGCGTTAAATTCATACTGGTTATAAGCTTCCACCACCTAAGAGCCTAAGAATACCATGTATGTGAGATTCCCTACTAGCTGGTGCTGCAACTGATAACAATTTTCAATCACGGTTTCATATGTTATCCGAAAATGGTGAGAATTGTGTGTCCTATTGTCCCAGGTCCCTTCTTGCGACAACAATTACTAAGTTTAGTGTAGTTTTTCATCTTTGTTGCATACTTTCTATCTTTGTAGACTTTTTCTACTATTGTTTATACCAAGTATTAATTTTTGTTACACTTCATTATACTAAATATTAGCATATTGTAAAGTAAATATAAAATAAAAATAAATAATGCACTTAGCATGAACGTGAAACTATTAGAGTTATCTCATTTTCTTGTTTTGTATGAATTTGATATACTTTGATCAAAATGCCATTGAACTTTCTAAATGACCACTTGTAGAACAATGGCATAAGGATCATTTGATCAATCACTTGCTGGTCTGAATCATTCATGACTGGTAAATGGAATCGTAAAAAAAAACTATATTAAAACATGTGTGCTGCCACATGGATTTGTGCTTCCACTCGTTCACCGTAATGAATCATGTCCGCTTGATGTAATTTCTCCGGTTATTTATTTATTTATATCTTTAGAAAGTGTTCTTGGTTGCTCTTTTAGATTTTGGATGAGTTTATGGGAGAAATTGGGCACTGGTGAAAGATACTCTTTAGCCACTTGGATCCTTATTAGAGCCTGTCTTTTGAACTTTGGAGGTAATTGGTTATACTTTTAGATTTTGGATAAGTTTATTGAAGAAGGACACAGGTGAAAGGTAAATCATTAGCCACTTGGATCCTTATTTGAGCCTATGTTTTGAACTTTGGAGGTAATGGGTAGTCATACATATTTGCCTGAATACTGGATATATTAACATTGAATAAAATTTAAATGAACATTCATATGTTGTAAACTTATTTGGTGGGATGAAATTGGCAGGAGGAAGCGGCTCGGACCATAACTTGTTAAAGAAGTTATTGGAAGATTTAGTTAATCTATAAGACATTGTTATGCCCTTATGGTATCAAAAGCATTTTGTTGACAGTGTGAATGGTTTAAAAAGAGCTGGACTCCTAGAAAGGTGATCTTGTGCTTTTAAAGCATTCTTAGTTCAAGGTGATGCGTTTTGGTTTCAAAGTGAATTTAGCATCTATTTTTTGTTGAACCTTTTGAGATTCTTAGATGTATGATATTCTTTGTATTTATCAGCTTGAGTTTTGGAAGTTATTTTTTCTTTTTTTTTGTTATTCTTAATTAAATTAAGAATTCATCTGTAATAAACTCTTTTGAGGGGGTTTTAAGTAAATCCAGTTTGGTCACTCTTATGCGTTCTTGTAGCTTTTTTTCTTTTTGGTACTTCTGGAGCTGTGTTTACAGACTTCATAGGATAATATTACATTTCTGGTGATTTTATTTGCTCGTAACAGAAGATTTTGTTGAATTTTATGGACATATTATAATTGATATGATACTAATACATAAATTACTGTTGATGGCTTTAATTTTATGATTGATTTCTATTCTGTTGGTGGAATAAGCTGTGTATGATCGATTAACTGTATGCATATCTCAGCCAAGAAATCATATGCAGCAAAATTCTTACAGAGTGTTTATGGCAAAACAATTCCTAGTGTGCACTAAAGTATTCTGTTTTTGTTTCAACGATATTATATATATAGTATGCTTTGGTGCCTTTGACCTAAAACTTCTTTGCCAATTATCAACCAAATGATAGTTTGATATTATTTTCTAATTGAAGAACAGCATTTTAAATTTGTTGTAAATTTTCTATGAAGTGTTTGTCTTTTGACAACGGTTGCTGGTTAATGGTGTTTGTTTGGTCTACATCTTCAGGGCATATTATTTCGTCTTATTAGACTTCTTTAAAAAAAAGTTCTGCCTGTGTGGTAGAAGCTCACGTGATTCTATTCCCTGTTCTCTTATCTGTAAATTCCATTTCTTTTTTCCATTTTTACATCGTTGTATGTGTGCGCTCCTATGTTTTTGCATGTTTCTATGCCTCTTCGCTTCTGCTTTGCGGTTATTGCAATTTCCTTGTTTATTTTTATTGCTAACCACTGGTAGGCCCTGTGCAGGTCGGTTAAATATGGAAGACCAGCTAAGATATCCATCTGTGCTACAGAAATTGAATGGACAATCTTACTTCGTTTCTAAGCTTGCCCCTCGTTCCCCTGTTAGGAATAGCAGCGTTCACAAATTCCCTCATACCTATGGCAATGCAGCACTGCAGATCCCAATCATGCAAAATTATCACGGAAGCATCCCACCCATCACTCCATCCTTTTCTGTCGTTGCTTCTGCACCAAAGGAAGCTGGCGCTACTGGATTCCTTATTGATTTCCTCATGGGAGGAGTCTCTGCTGCCGTCTCAAAAACAGCTGCAGCTCCCATTGAGCGTGTCAAGCTATTGATCCAAAACCAGGATGAGATGATCAAGGCCGGTCGTCTCTCTGAGCCCTACAAAGGCATCGGCGATTGTTTCGCCCGAACAATGAAAGACGAAGGTGTTGTTGCTCTTTGGCGAGGCAACACCGCCAATGTCATCCGTTACTTCCCCACGCAGGTTTATCTCTATAACATGTTTTTTGGGCTCTAAACGAGCATGCTCAGGCTTGTGTTCGGCTGGTATGAAATTTGTTTGTTGGAATTAAAAAAATTATTAAAAAATTAAATTTTTAAGTAAAAATATATCTAGAGTTCTTTGAGGAAAAAAAATTATTGCTTTAATAAGTTATTTAATATAACATTCATGATTTATTAATTTTATATGTATGTATGAATGTATGTATGCATGTATGCATGTATGCATGCATATATCTATATATATTTGTTTAATTAATTTGGGCCAAAACGATAACACGATCGAACAAATATTTGTTTGTGTTTAGCTCGGTTACAAATCAAGCTCAAAAAGTTTGTTTTTGTTCCGCTCGCCTAATGAATGAATCAAACACTGATACTTAACAAGCCACTTCGTGAGCAAGCTATGTTGAAAGCTTTACATGCATTTTGTCCTGATTGTTTACTTTTTTTATACCACCTTTTTTGGTTCTCTCATCTAAACAAAATCTCATCTTTTTGTGCAGGCTTTGAATTTTGCCTTCAAGGATTACTTCAAAAAGATGTTTAACTTTAAGAAGGACAAGGATGGCTATTGGAAATGGTTCGCAGGCAACTTGGCTTCTGGTGGACTCGCCGGTGCTTCCTCACTTATGTTTGTGTACTCTCTGGACTATGCACGAACCCGTCTGGCTAATGATGCCAAAGCTGCCAAGAAAGGAGGTGAAAGGCAGTTCAATGGTCTCGTTGATGTTTACAGGAAGACCATTCAATCTGATGGCGTGGTCGGACTCTATCGTGGCTTCAACATCTCTTGTGTCGGCATCATAGTGTACCGCGGACTCTACTTCGGAATGTATGATTCCTTGAAACCAGTGGTTTTGGTTGGCGCCTTACAGGTTTGTTGGATTAAATTATATGTACTATCAATAGTTTAGTATTTTTATAACATCATTATAATATTTCTTATTGGAATTCTTTGCAGGACAACTTCTTCGCAAGTTTCTTGCTTGGATGGGGTATTACAATTGGTGCGGGTCTTGCCTCGTATCCGATCGACACTGTTCGTAGAAGAATGATGATGACGTCCGGCGAAGCCGTCAAGTACAAGGGCTCGTTGGATGCGTTCAAGCAGATTTTGAAGAACGAGGGCACCAAATCTCTATTCAAGGGGGCCGGCGCCAATATTCTGCGTGCTGTTGCGGGTGCTGGTGTGCTTGCCGGTTATGATAAGCTTCAGGTGTTGGTCTTTGGAAAGAAGTATGGTTCCGGTGGTGGGGGCTAATGCTTTCAGAGCTTTTTTTTTGGATTCATGAGATTGAGTTATTGATGATGATGATGATGATGATGATGAACACATAATGGTAGGATTTTATTATCTGCGCTTTTTTAATTTTCAATCTTCCTTCAGAATAATTCTTGCAACTGATTAGCCAAAATTTTCCCTTGGGGTTTTTCTTGGGGTTAATGGAGTGGCTTTGAACTTTGTTCTTGATGTTTTTTTGTTTTTTGTTTTTTTTTTTTTTTTTTTTTGAACCGAGATAAGAATGGTCTTCAATGTTTGAGAATTATCTTTTTGTGTGTTTTAGATATCTGCAAACATTATATTTCGAGGAATGCCTCCTTCAAATTATTTGATAATATATATATAAACATTGGTGTCTATTTAAGTTCAAGTGATGTGTTTGATTGTTTTGTGGTTGCAAGTTTTGAGTGGTGCTAAAATTTCTGGTAAATTTTTGACATTGCATTAAAAATTTCATTATCAGTAATTTTAAAAAAAGTGCAATGTATCTTTCCATGCCTTGATTTTTAATACTGGGTTATAAATGTAAATACCAAACTTTAGGTGTTAGGTATGTCAAAACATAAGAATGGTGTGGTATGCATGTAAATTTCCCATTTACATTGATGCTGCTTCTTTTTATCAGCATCCGGTGGTTGTCATTTTTTGTGTTTGACGATGTAAACTGTTCTTGTGTTTATATCTGAGTTCTTTTACATCTAATTAGATTAAAAAGGAGTTGGAGAGATCAGTTTCAGTTCTTGTTATGGTTTGAGTACATTTAGAATGTTAACTTTTATTATGTGTTTGAAAATATTTAGAATATTATTTAGTAATGATGTTTGATTTCTATGGACTCCCGTTGCATTGCTGATACTCGAGTCTGATATAATTTTGGTTGCTAGTATGTCTTTTAGGATTATTCATAGACTTTTAACACGTTCTTCATATGGATGTCCATATACCATGTGACATCTATGAAGGACATTTTGACTTGGCACTCCTTTTTAGTCCTCCAACTCAACCTAAACCCTAGTTACTTAATGGTGGTGGCTTTCTTGCGGCATTCAAAGCTCTACCATCACTTGATGTTGTCGAATCACTTTGTGCTCTGACAACTTTTTGTTCATTATTGATAAAATCGGTTCTAGTACTCCATTGTTGTTATTGTGGTCTTTAGCCCCATTATTGTTGGCTTGCTCCTTCGTGGTTAGTGGCTCTACTGAAAAGCTTAGAGGTTTTTTGGGATCAATTTTTATCTTTTATTTTTGAAAACAAAAAAAAAAAATATGAAACAAACTTATAATTAGTGAACATGTTTTTGGTTTGATTATCTATTTTTTGTTTTATTTCTATTTTTTTTATTTTGTTGGGATAGCACCTCTATTTTTAAATTACTTAAAAAGAAAAAGATATATTTTTGACTATTTTTAAAAGGCTAAACAACTCGAAGTCTGCATGTCGCCAGCCTCTGCCCGTGCCTGCCACCTGCCTATAGCTTATTGCTGCCCCCCTGTCGGTGCTGCAGCATGCCGTTGGCCCTAACCCATCGCCACAGCTGGGTGCTGCCCCCACCCATCTCATGTTTCGTGCAGGGTGGAGCAAGAAAGATGGCATATACATCATGGGCAGCAGGGTTTAATATTAGAACGTATGTGAACCCCAAACACTCCCTAACCTCCAGGTAGATGTCTAATGTAGTGATGTGCCGTAAAATTAATCGGTTGGTGAGTATGTTTTGCATCGCATGCCTCATTGCTAGTAGCCCAATTGTCATAGTTATGGTGATGTGAAACCACATTTGCCAATCTATATCAATTCGTCATTTTGAGAGTATATTAGTCGGAAATAAAATAAGTATTTTTAAGTTAGCAGATTCGTGTTTATCCTTCTCTATAAAAAAGTTAGAGTTATCATAACTGGTATTTTACAATTGCTTTACATGTCAATTTTTTTCCACTTGAGGAAGGTGATCAAATAGCTAATCAAAGAATACTCTTTTAACTATATTGTTTTTTGCATTAGCCATACTCCTTTGAATAGTCTCTCTAGCTTGACCATGCTCTTTTTGGCTAGGCTACTTTATAATTTAGTCACAATAAATCAATTTCCCAATGTATGGTCATACCTTTATTTAATCATACTATTCTTAGCACATAAATGCCGTGTTGGCTATGTTTTTTTTAGAACTAGATGGTCAATCAACTCAATTCTTTTTACTTAATATACTCTTAGCCTAACTGTACTCTTTTGATTTTACTCAAAACTCTTCATGATATTACTATGCTATTTTGATTGTCATTTTTTTAACTAGTTCATGCGCTTTTGATTAAATCATTTTGTTACTTGGTCATACATTTTGGGTGACAACTTTTATTTGATTATAAACTTGTAATTAACTTAGTTTTTTATTCAAGTACTTCGTCTCATATGATCATGCATTCTGCACATTAGAAACTCTCATTTAATCAATATTTTTTATTCTTTTAGATATTTAAAAGCCGTTAAAATATCATAATCAATTTGAGTTTGATTGGTTGATAGTCTTAATCATCTCTATCTCATATTATTTTCTTAGTTGCATGTGTTTGAGTTAGCATAAATTGGCTAACTAGATTTATTCTTAACTTTAGGATTGCTTATGGTTATGACAAATTAATTGTTATTTTTGGGTGATTGTTCATTTGATAACTTATTCTATTGCATCCATATCTCATATGGCTAATTAGAGAAGCTTTTAAAATTAAAAATATTTTTAGGCCATGTATGAGGCTAGTTTTTTTATTTTTTTAGTTTTAATCTTTTGAAATGTGTGAATTGATATCTACTTGTAAGTCTCTTTAAGCATTATTGTATGTTATTTTAAAATTTTAATAATTTTAAGGTGAAGTCTTTAACTTAATTGGATTGCTAAGATAAGATAATTTTGTAACCCATCACAATTGGGTTGTAAGTGAGTCAAGCTGACTTATGAACTAAGTGGCTCGTGAACTAAGCTCAATGAGCTAACAAGTCAAGTTCAAGCTAGTCTTGACTTGACTCTTTAGCCTGATATTAAATTTGAAGACTTTGTTTTTGAAGTATTAAACTTGTTCAAAAAATAATAGTTTGTATTGTATATTTTGTGATATCTTATTATTTCTTTCATAATTGTTTATTCTATTTGTCATTTTATTATAATGATACCTCAAAATCTGAAATTAGAATAAATTTTTATCTTTTATGATAAACAAGCCAGTTAGTGAGCAGGTTCAAACTCGTAAACAAGCTCGAGCATAGAATTTAATAAAATTAATCAAGCTGAAGCTAGGCGTGGCTCAAGCTCAGACTCGATTCATTTACACCCGTAATCATATGAGCTAACTCAACCACTCTTTAACTTTGTACATTCTTCACGTTATCATAAAACACACCCATAGTTCTTGGTATATATATATATATATATATAGTAAATATCGAATAAGTTAATTTATGTGACTGGTTCGATAGTTACTAGAAGCGTGCTGATAATGATTGATTGGGTGTTGATGGCTGCTAATTGGCAACCGAGGTGGGTCAGTAGGATTGGTGACTAAAATCATCTATGATAGAAAATTATTTAAAGTGCTTTAAAAATTCATTTTAATTATTTTAAAAAAATATAAATAGTTAAAGCTCACTGAATAAAATATTTTCTAAAAAAATAAAAGTGATCCCGAATAAACTTTTAGTTGATCGCTCATTCTGTAAGCACTTAATTATTAAGATGCATTATCACTAAGATCAGTCTTATCTCCAAATTATAACTACAAGTACTTGATGACTAACCCAATTTTCTTAATCCGCTTGCCACTTTGATCTATAATGTTGCTCTGATTTGATATTACCATCCAATTTCTACAAATTCACTGCTTACAAATGATATATTTGATGAACATGTCTTAAATAGTAAAGATTAGGAATCCATACTTGAGAATTATACTTTAATGAGTTAAACCTCATGAGGGGTAATAAGTTTGTATCATCGCCCAAGGGTGGGATCATCTCGTGCCTTTTTTAGCCCCGCAAAATGTATATTAGTAAAGCGGCAAAATATGAAGCTCTGATAGCATGTTTAGAATTAGCATTTTGATGGCCATCCTTTGAGTTTGGGCTTTCGGAGATGCATGGTTGCTTATTAATCAAGTTGGTGAGACCTTCAAAGTTTTCAAGAGTAAGATCCTCCCATACCATAACGACTATGTGAAACTCTTATATTCTTTGTATTTTTTATATTAAAATTTTAAGCTAAGAAGAATATGTTATATTTTCAAATTTTTATGATATAATTCAAAGTTTATGAAATATCATTTATATGTCTTACAATAACAAAATTGATCAAATATTCTTAGTATCTTATTTTTTTGGCATAACATGCTCAAAAATTTATTTTGGATCAACACAGCGCCAAAATTTCAAGAAATGTTAGAGTAATATGTAAGGAAATATTCAACCAAGTTATATTCCCTTCCTATTTTCAGTGCCTTACTCATCTCTGAAGATTGTTGTTGTTCATGAGTAATACTTAGGAGGGAAAAATTCTAACACTAAGCTTATGTCTCCATCTTAAGCTAGCCATTCAAAGTTAGTATTATTACAAGTTTTTTCACACTTTGAACCCTAAACCTAGAAGGACATTATATGTCACATTATCATCATTAATTATTGATTATAAATTATCATGGCCTTGATCAAACTATGCCTAAGTCATGATCAAACATTCAAAGTATAAGATTTGAATAATGATCGAAGAATGATCAAACTTTGTTTGAATAATGATCGAAGAAGGCTTGAAAGTGTCTCAAATAATGACAAAACAAAATATTCAATTGTAATGCAAAAGATGATCAATGAATAATCGATTGTGGCTTGAAGAATGGTCATATAATAATTAAGAGGGTTCAACTTTAGTTCGAACAATAAACAAATAGGTCTTAATATTAGATTGGTCAAGATTTGATCAACATTAGATCATAATTTGAGCATGATTTTGATCTAAATAGTATTTAAACAATATTCAAACATAATACAACATAATTTGAATTTACTATTTTGCACTTATTGTATTTTTTTTTTGTAAATAAATTGAGAAATTTCTCACTATCTATGCAAATTAGTTGGGTTTGATAAGGAAATTATTTAAATAGTTTGAGGCAAATGACAGATAAATTAAATAATGTATTGAAACACTC